CCTCCTCTACCCCCTCCACCCCCCCAGTTGCCCCTTCCACCTCCACCTCCCCAGCCACCTCGTCCACCACCTTCTTGTCTCTTTTGCCAAGGAGGCATTTCGGGAGGAGGTGGTTCAATCTCTGTTGGTCTACCTCCACGGTCAGGTACTCTCCCCATCAGAACCTATAGAGAAAAATAGGTAATTTTTAGTTTAAACAAATAGTAATAATAACTTGAAGGGACACAGGGTACTTCTCTATGCACGAAGACATGCTGCCTGCTCTTTACAGGAAATATGGTCCCCTTGGTGCAGAACTTGACAGCAGAATCCCTATTTCCTGTCCTTGTAACTTGCTACAACACAACAGAATTCTGAAAGTGATTCCATTTTCCCCCTGTAAAACTGCAATAACTGCAGCTGGCTAGCTCATATTACTTTTGTGAAATCTCTATGAGGAAAACTACATGCATGTGAAGTATTAGTATTACAATAAACAATATACATAATTCATGTAATACATATGAATAGGTAATATATATAATTAATGCAACATATATTCATATAGAAAAGACTCCTTATGATGCAGCTTTTCTACTTAAATTTCAAAGTTCAAGCTCAAACCTAACCAGCTGGCAAAAAACAAACTAGCAAATTGATATGCAACTCTAAAAGGAACACCAGTTTGCCTTAGATTACTGTCCTGGGTTCAGCTACGGCAGTCATTTTAATCCTTCTTAGTAGCTGGTGCAGTGCTGTGGTTTTGACTTTCAGCCTGGGAACAACGCTGATAACACCGATGTTTTTAGTTGTTGCTCAGTAATGTTTACTCTGACCAAGGACTTTCTCAGTCTCATGCTCTGTCAGGGAGGAGGGGAAGCCAGGAGGAAGCAGAGACAGGACACCTGACCCAAACTGGCCAAAGGGGTATTCCATACCACAGCACGTCATGCCCAGTATAGAAACTGGGGGGTGTTACCTGGAAGGCCCAGATCGCTGCTCGGGTCGGGCTGGGTATCGGTCGGTGGGTGGTGAGCGGTTGTGTCCTCTCCCCTTGTTATTTCCCTTATCATTATTACTGGTAGCAGTAGTGGTTTGTGTTATACCTTAGTTACTGGAGTGCTGTTATCTCAACCCGTGGGAGTTACATTCCTCTAATTCTCCTCCCCATCCCTCCGGGAGTGGGGGGAGGAAGAAGCGCGGGGAGTGAGCGAGCGGCTGCGTGGTTCCGAGTTGCCGGCTGGGCTTGAACCACGACAATTAAAAAGTAATTACGCTCACTAAAGGCTGGAACAGACAAAATACGTAACATGCTGCAGTAACACTTCCAAGAAAAGAAAAACAAAAGGGATCTTGACTTCAGTGGATATTACCCAGTGTACAAAAAGGGAGACTGGACTGGACAAAGTTACACAAAACATTAAGTTAAATAACAAAAAGGTATCCATGTAGGTCTTTTTGTTGTTTCTGTATTTCCTAAACCTTCTGTGTAATGAAGGTTAACATACACCGGTCAGCCCCACGCACTCCGATTAAAGTCCTCTCAAAAAAATCCCCAAACTTTCTCTGAGATCCTACAATAATTATGAAATTTCAGCACTTCTGGGATCAAAACATATTAAAAAGTATGTAAATGAGGCAAAAAACTTTAGAAAAATCTGGAAGTAAGGGATTAATAAAAACAGGCCTAGTCACCATTCAAATGGTGAAACTAATGTCATTACTCACAAGCTTCAGCTTTTATCATACACAAGAGAGCAGTACAATGTTGATTACAGTAGCTAAACCAAAGAATTTTGCTTTGCAGCAAAATGACACTTCCACAGAAACTTGTCATTTATAATATCCTGATAAACTAAAGATGCCGGTTTATGAACTGAACAACATAATCCTGGCAACAGTAGCCCAGGAGCTGATACCAGAAAGACTCAGGGATCGGTGTTGGGACCTGTGTTGTTTAACATCTTTGTCGGTGACATGGACAATGGAATTGAGTGCGCCCTCAGCAAGTTTGCCCACGACACCAAGCTGTGTGGCTCGGTTGATACGCTGGAGGGAAGGGATGCCATCCAGAGGGACCTGGACACGCTTGTGAGGTGGGCTGATGCCAACCTTATGAAGTTTAATCAAGAGACGGTCCTACACCTGGGTCGGCGCAACCCCAGGCACAGCTACAGGCTGGGCAGAGAAGAGATTCAGAGCAGCCCTGCGGAGAAGGACTTGGGGGTGGTGATTGATGAGAAACTCGACATGAGCAGGCAGTGTGTGCTTGCAGCCCAGAAAGCCAACCGCATCCTGGGCTGTATCAAAAGAAGGGTGACCAGCAGGTCAAAGGAGGTGATCCTGCCCCTCTACTCTGCTCTTGGGAGACCTCACTTGGAGTATTGTGTACAGTTCTGGTGTCCTCAACATAAAAAGGACATGGAGCTGTTGGAGCAAGTCCAGAGGAGGGCCACGAGGATGATAAGAGGACTGGAGCACCTCCCGTATGAAGACAGGCTGAGAAAGTTGGGGCTGTTCAGCCTGGAAAAGAGAAGGCTGTGTGGAGACCTCATAGCAGCCTTCCTGTATCTGAAGGGGGCCTACAAGGATGCTGGGAAGGGACTCTTCATTAGGGACTCTAGTGGTAGGACAAGGGGTAATGGGTTTAAACTTAAACAGACGAACTTTAGGTTAGATATAAGGAAGAAGTTCTTCACAGTGAGGGTGGTGAGGCACTGGAATGGGTTACCCAAGGAAGTTGTGAATGCTCCAACCCTGGCAGTGTTCAAGGCCAGGCTGGACAGAGCCTTGGGCGACATAGTTTAGTGTGTGGTGTCCCTGCTCATGGCAGGGGGGTTGGAACTAGATGATCTTAAGGTCCTTTCCAACCCTAACTATTCTATGATTCTATGATTCTATATCCTTAACATGAGGTGTGCAGTTTCACTGAACTCAAGAGGTCATTTACACACACACGCACACACACATACACCTCCCCATACTGCTCCTGCTCATCTAGACTACTGTTTCACCCTGTGACATGACTGACTGTGTAGTAACGTAAAAAAAGAAGTTGCCACAACAGTTACTGGAATACTGCAAACCTTCCTTTCTTAAAGCACCAGGTATTCTGCAAAAATAAATTAAAATATTAAGCAAAGAGTGCAATTCCAGAATTACTCTTGATAGGTCTGTAAACTCCCATGTCCTTTTATCACATCCCAGAAAGAAAAAGCATACCTTGTTGATCGCACAGACTGTATTTTCTCGAGTTGAACCACTACTTGTTCTCATGATTTTTGACAAATCTTCTCGAGCAGCCAGAAGGTGAGCTACTGTAATAGTTGACTTTGGAGATAATGCATGGCGCTTGGGCTGATAGATTCGTGCTATGTCATCTGTTTTTACCTAAACGATAAAAATCAAACACAACTTATTTGCTAGGCATAAAACACACAAACACGTGTACCATAAACCATGAACTGGTCTGTTTCACTTTGAACACAGGGTGGAATGCCTGAAAATCAAGGTTATCTTACAAAATATACTGCCAGTTGTTACCAATTCTGTCATACTGATGGAGCTATTGTACAAAAAATGCTGCTGACGTTTAATTGATGCTGAAATTAACACCATTACGAAAGAAAAACTCTCCTATCCACTGTCATCAGATTCTTTAATGTTTTTTAACATACACAAAGTCTAAAACGTAAGAGTCCAAACTGCCCTCTTAAGAGTTTACATAGCCGTATTTAACAGAACACTTCAAATGTGATGAGAACAGAGCAGCTTCAAAGTAAGGTCAATTTGTGGAAAAAAAATTGTATCAATGCAGCAAAGCACTTTGCGCAAGCTATGCAGAAGTGAAGATTGAGAAGGGGAGAAAGTAAGACTTTTTCCAAACACACCTTGATGCTTCATTTGTTTAACAAAAAAGAAAAATAAATACACTTTCTGGGGACATCTAGAGTGATCTTCAGAGTAAAAGTGGATCTTGGAGGACCAGACAACAGATGCTGCTTCCTTACTTGACTGTTTTGCTAGGCAATTCCTACACCATTTATGGATCCATTTCAGTCTGCAAACTTACCTCTCTTGGGAACTGAACAAGTTAAAAAAAATCCAAACCACAGCATACACAAAAGAATGCCAGAGCATCAAAAGCAGATAAAGATATCAATACCTATGTAATGGTGGGGAAAAAAGGCAAGCTAACAAATAAATTAAAAAGGAGAACAATTTGTCTCTTGGCTTAAAATAAAATAAAAAAATAAAATCTGAACTGCACTAATGTCAAAACATTTTCAATCCCCAAAATCTTCCTGGAGAAGTTATAATCAAATATTTTGACAATAAGGAAAAAAGATTAAAAATCATATGTACTTTTCGATTAATAGGTCACCTGGTTATTCCTTAACTGCATACTATTTCACATCAACAGTCAAGACAGGAAAATGAATCATCTTACTACCCCATCATCATTAAAAATTTAAACTATTGTTCTATTGCAAAAGTGTATTGTTTTTCACACTGTTTGCATGGAGTAAGATCAAATGACTTAAAATTTTCATCTAAGTTAGTCATGAGTTGACATCAAGTACACTTCAGAAGTACATTTTAAAAGATATAGTTGAATTGGTACAGCTATAAGGAAGTTACACACACAGGGACATGTCCTGGCTTCTGTGAGCTAAATGCCCTCCTTTTCCTTTCCTGCAGCTTAAAAGCATTCACAACGCCTGCAGAAAATTGTGAGCCACTCCAAAGCAGCACAGCAGCATCTAGACTCATGTCTTCCAGTGATACTTAGTGAGCTTCATGAAAACAATTCTGTCTGCAAGTGTCAACGACAAATTGTGACACCAGAAAGACTCGTAACAATCCATACTTCCAGTAAGCTTTTGAAGTTTTAAGAGATTCATCTTAAGCTTTCTACACCAGCCTTTGGAAGGAAAACCGATCTTGCAGCTCATGAGCAAAAACACGGCCTCCAGCTTTTCACATGTATATTCACCAATTTACAAACTTTTTGCATCTTATCTCCCCACTCTCTTGGATAGAAACAGTATGCATTTCTAGCTCAAAAATATCATTTTTGAGCTAGATGACTGTTCTTTGATATACAGAGTGCTAGCAACAAATGAAATGATCACAATTAAAATGATACCAACAGAGAAAATCCAGAGTGGTTTGGAATTTTTAGCCATCTGAAGGATTACAATTGCGTGCTTTTCTCATGAGCTGCTATTCAAATAACCTGATCAACTGACCATCTGTTTATCCAGTAGCTTTGAATCCAAGACAGTTAGCAGTCACTGTATCTCACTGACTTTATGGGCAGTCACTCTTTGCACCCAGTCTACGCTAAGGACCAGTGTTAGTATTTCTCTTGCATCTGCATGGGAAATGCTGAGGATCCCTCCTAATTTACTTGATTTGAGATGGATGGATATAGGAAAGAAAAAGGGGAGATGTGATTAAAGTGAGAAGCCCCAACGGAGGATGCTAGAATTTATAATTGTGAAGCTATAAACAGTCACACGGATGGACTGTGCCAGCTGGTCAAATCACTTCCCCTTCCAGGACTTGGATGTTATAACCCAGGATGAGAAAGTGGTTGGGAACAACAGTAACAGAAGTGTATTTACATAGGATGTACATTCAGTAGGAAGACCTGGGAAATTGTAACAGACTCCCACATACAGGAAGCAAAAAATTCATCAAGCTTACCTTTGCTCTATCAGACCAGCCAAAAGACTGTACTGTCACATCCAGCCTCTTCATTAACATGCGTCGGCGACATTCATACTCACTGCGAAGAGCATCATTGATTTTTTCCAATCTTTCCTGCAGTGTTACAATAAAACCCCAAACATTCAAAGTTATAAAGTTATAGAAGTCAATTTAAAGTTAACCCCACTCAGCAACTGAGATGTCTATCCCCAGATAATCACTATAAACTACATAAAATTCGAGATGTGTCTGTGTGGTGCTAGAGTAGTATGTGTATACAAAATATTTTGAAAGTTAGTAAGTGGATGAATCCACACAAAGTCTGTCTTATAACATTAATTCTAGAAGTATCTGATTAGCGTCATTAATATTTAGCACCTGAATTTTAGTATTAATATTTTGCAATAGACCATTGACTGTAAAATAGACAAAGTTAGATAAAACCATAAGCATTAATTTTGACCATTAATTTTGACATCCCGTTAATTACAGAAAAGAATTTGAGAGACTTTTATTTACCACTTGTTCAGAATTCAGAGGTTTTGTTAGCAGTGACTTCCCCACATGGTTATTTTGAACTTTAGAGAGAATGTCCTTTATCTGAAACAAAACACATACTTCTTGTCAGAACACAAATTATACTCTCACTTATTCCAGCACAACTTGCAATAATCACAATTTGCGACTCATAAGATCAAACACAGCACATTTGTTTTAGCAGACTCATAAAACCAGATATGCTTCTTCTGGCTTACCCGTTATAAAAAGATTTCCTGAATACTTTTACTACATGACTAACCACCACACAAAAATATTTTATGGCACACCACTTCTCTCAACTATAATCGAAAAACATCTACATGGCAAATTTATCAAGTGCATACAAACAGAAGGGCTAGTTAAATTGATAATTTTACTTAAGTCTTGTAACTACAACTATGGGAATTTAACAACTTGAAGCTAGTAATTCTGGTGCCAAATGCTAGACTTGGCTACAAATTCTGGTCATTGGTGCTAGTAAGAAAGGTGGGAGATATGACAGGTACGCAGTCATTCTCTCTCATCATTCTCCTAACCCTGTAATTGCTTCCATTTAACATCGCAATTAAGACCTTTGCATTCACCCCAAATCAGCCTTGCTTATATTTCTTCCATTAGCTTTTGCCCTCAGAAGTTGGGGACAGGGTGTGCTGTCTCCTTCTGCTTTACAAACTCCACTGCATTCTCCAATCCCATTATAAGAAACCTCTATGCCCTCTTCTTGAAGGAACTTCCTTTGCACAGCTCTTCTCCAAGGTTGTCTGACTTGTTTGTCTTCTAAATGTAGCCAACTTGTTTTGCTTTTAATGAAGCGTGTACATGATGCCTCTCATAATTTACTTCAAAACTCCAATGCATCCAAGCACAAAATACACTTTCAAATAAGTGTCTGAGGAATCAAAACCTGAGGCAATATAGTTAGATCAGCATGACAGCAAGAGAGGAAAAAATAAGTAATTACTAAAGAAGGAATAAATAGCAGATGAATTGAAAATCCTATCAGGCAAGAGGTATCTATCCATATACCATTGAGGTCAGAAATATAAACTCAAAGGTTCTAAGGAGTTAAAGGGAAGAGAGTCTATCAACATGAGACTGGCTTCTGGAAAAAAACAACCCAGCAAAGCCAAAACAAATCCTCAATATAATTTATAGCTATTGAACGAGAGAAAAATCTGGAAACCAGTGATGCTGAATACTGTGTAGAGATTAGAATTATTGCGAGTTTAGCTGCAGGGGCAGCTAAGAAGTAAATACAGCACTGGGCTCCACATATGAAAAAGCCACACGTTCTGCCATCACAAGTTGATCACAATTAAAAGACCTAACTCGGCACTGCATACTCCTGATTTCCACAAACTGAAAAATGAAAAGAAGTTTAGATAGAATAATTAAGGAAGAGAGCCAGTGAAAATCAGAACTAGAAGAATCAAGAGCAACTAAATGAAACAATCCTTTACTGACTGGGAAACTGCCCCTAAATTTCTCCAAACTTTTCTTTCCAAGTTAAAGAGGGTATCTGTGTAATTTTACCCAGTGACAGGCTTATTAATCAAGTAATATTTAAGGAGGAATCTTTTCACTGATGAACTGGTCTACGTTCATGTTTGTGACATACTGTAAAGTCACACTCAGATTACTGAATCTCCACCTCAC